GTTTAGTTTGTCAGCCCAATCGTATATCATAGCATGACAATCCTGTTTTTGAAACGGAATGAAATTGACTTATGTGTTGTAAATTTGAGTTTTCATCGAATTCGATCGACTGCATTCCCTATTCACTCTTCTTATCTGAATGTTTACATTTGGTTCCTAAGACTATTTACAATATCTACTTTCAATAAGAATCATCAATTTATTACTGAAGAATTTATGATATCCCGGAAGAAACGATCACTGTAGTCGAACATCACTGGCAATCATATTTCTTCGTACATCATTGAGCTGCAAAATAAAAGATAGATAAATTTATTAATGAACTTCTTATTTTTACACTGCAACTCCAATGTGAACATAAGTTTCAAGATACTACAACATTTTCGCAATGTGGTGAAAAATGTCTCGATAGTTATCTTATGTTTTTCAACGGTTCTCTTCGAGAAGCATGCGAAGAAGCTTTCAGTTCAAGAAATTTGTCTTATTAATTTTTTTCTTGTTATATAAAACATATACTTCTTTCTTATTTGAGCTCCGCTCTATTCTTGTTTGCACACATCATGACGAGGATCAAATTAAGAAAAATTTTTGTGAAACTATGCTCAATTCATCGGATATTGTTAGTTATTTAAATATGAATTATGCTGTCTGGTCATGGGAAGTTACTTGTGATTTGCATGTACATACGTAAATTAGATGTCATGTGAATTCGAGAAGTTTGATTTTGTTTTTGTATTTAGGTTAGCAAATATTTACAAAGAAATATTTTCCACTCAATTCATAGATACGTTTTCCATTGAAAAATCCCCCATTGGTTATTGTAATTATGCGACAATTTGAATACGAAAGAGATGGATTTACAGTATTGGAATATCAATTTGAAAGATTTGTTAAAGATAATAGTTCTGTACGTGTTATGACTGATAATCATAACATTCTATCCAATAAATTGGTTGTTTTCACAGTGAAATACGATGAAAATGAACAGAATTTAGTGAGTGTTTTGTTTTTCATTTTGATTTTCTATGAAAATTATGCATTTTTAGTTATTTTATTTCGTTATAAAAACTGGTCCTTGTTGGGAAATTAGACTTGAAATAGCACAATATCTTCCATTAAATGATGCGATTTCTGCATTCTTGATTCGTATTCTTTTTCTATTACAAAATATTCAATGGTATAACCCATATGATCCATTTATTAAAACAATTCTTCCAAAAATCAGCAAAGAAAAAATGATTTCATTACAACTGAATGAACATCTAATGTATTCACACATTGAAGAAGATTTATTATGTAAGTTTAGAGAAGTTGTTTCAATAAGTCTTCATAATTTATCATCCACTTATCGAATTTTCACATATATGAAAATGTGCCTCAATTTAATTCGTGTCTAACTCAGCTATGATAACGAAATTCGTTTTAAGTTATTCGATAACATATTAAAGTGATATGAATTCAGTAAATTGCACGATTTATGTAAAGACAATCATTGGTCACTATCCTCTAACATCAACAAACGAAGACCTTCAACCTCACGAACCATTTATTTTTTATAACAAAAATTAGATATATAAGTAAAATGCTCTGCATTGGATATATTCATTTAATTGTTAAAAACTGTGATATTGAACGCTTTTTGAGTGATGATCATTGGAAAATTCCAGTAGAATCATGTTCTAATTTAAAGAAAATAATATTTAAAGTGTTGGTAAATACATCTGAGAAGACAGTGTGGATAAACAAAGTATTGGAAATCCAAACGAAATTGCGTACTATACGACCAACAATCAACTTTCAAATTATTTTTTTGCGTAATTTTCTTTTGTTTCAATTCCTACACATCATTCTCGATCATGCATACATCTACTGAGAAGTCTTTCATGTTGATTGAATAGAAACATTTCTTTTTGTTTCAGTTATGAATAAAAAGATATAATTAGCCTTCAGTATAGAGATGTTATTTCAATATGTCAATATCCATCAATATTTTCTAGTTAATTCTTCAACAATTTTTCTCGTGAGAGGACTCACCCTCTCTCTGCTTGATTAAAAGGATTGCTTTATTCAATCCCTGAATCCCGCACTGTGACAGAATTACAAAGTTCTCGATATTTTTCTTTTACATTCATCCAGCCATTTCGGCTCAAACTATCATTGAGATCTATTATGTGTAATCAAGGTTTCTTTTCAATTTTTGATACCCTTGTCTAGTACCAAATATGATAAAGAAAAGAGCATCGGTTCTCTTGAATGATCTTCCACGGTAACTCATATTCTTCGAGAACATTCAAAGTGAAGATTTCGATCACTTATACAAAATCACTTCGTCAACTGTTGTTGGATTTTACATACAGTACCCTGTTATTATATTCAAAAGTCATACATCAAGCGTATTCCTATCAATAGACTAAACGACCTTTTCCCTATTAGAATGATCAGAAAACCCATTCCTTTTTCCTTCCAATTATTATTCTTTTTTTTGGATGAGAAAATGCGGTGAATTTTCATGTATCCAAGAACTATTTTCAGAATGGGTATGCGTTCGAAAGTGGCATCTCACCCGTCTTCTTTCAAAATAGCTTTGTGTTTTACCGAAACTTCCTACACTTAGGTCCAGTATCGATTATTTTCTCAAACTACTATTTTAAAATGAAATATCAAAAT